AAACGAACCGCGTGGTGGATAAGCTGGACCAAAAATGAGACCAGATCAGGGCACGGCAGGCCTTAATCAGGCTACGCTCCCCTGACAAATGCCAAACAGGCTCAGGCATCAGTCACCCATGACTGTCATGGCACTCTCATTCCGTGGGATCGGAGTCAGGCACAGCGGCTCCGGTCGCCAGCGCCCGATCACGCCCCGCAGCCAGTTTTAGATCAGTTCCAGCGTTCGACTCAAACATCCTAAAGTTTCGCCAGAATGTGATGAAGACTGATGGTATGCCCCTTAACTTGCCAACTCGACAAAGGTGTAGTATCAATTCATCCGCTCACTTTAAGTACGTAGATGTAAAAGCTGAAGTTCGATGAGGCTGTTTTCATTCTATTACCTTCAAACTGTACGGCTATGAACTCATTTCTTCCATTGTGCCTTGGGGCTCGCTCTTGGACCCCGCCAGGAACCGCCCAACACCTAGCATAATGCAGACAGAAAGGGACAGACAAGGGAGAATGGAATGACCATTTCTGGCTTATTAGCCGTCCTCAACCAGCCTCAACCAATCCCAGATGTTTCGGTAACCGAGGCTCGAACCCGAGACCTTTTGATCAGACCTGTTGTCTAGAAGTCGAACGCGCTAACCACTGCGCCTCGGGATTGTGGCCTTGTTTGTGTCGATCGGTAATATTAACAACAACGGTGAATGGGCACTCGCCGATATTTTACGCAACTCACTCGTCTCGTTGTACTTAAGGGCTCACACTTGAGCTCCGCCAGCAGCCGCGCAGTGCCCAATAATGTCGAAAAATGACGCAACCGACTAGACTGGAGTCGGGTATCTGCAGCTGACGACAGCTAATAAGGTATAAATACGTGTATACTGCAGTCTTAACGTTTGCCGGTAATATATTGCTTACACAACACTCTAACTATCAGTTTGTGCAGCCTATTGCCCTGAAATATACTGAACTAAAAGACATCAAAAGGTATCATCTGCCACAACCGGTCAAGTCGTTTTGAAGAAATGTGAGTCAATTAGCAGAAAACCCACTGTCACTGTGATCAGGGCCAAAAAAAAACTTAAAATGCGTGAGCAGTCGTCTTCTTCATGATTAGAAAACTGACCAAGAGCAATAGAGATATTAGATGAAGCGACGACGACGACGACAGCGTCACATACCCAGACGCGTGGATATTCCGTTTTGAATGATT